GCCGACGGCGGGCGGCACCCGGACCGCGGGACCGTCTGTGGCATCTGTGAACAATCAATAAAACCCATCACTTGATGATCGACAATCTATGACGCATAACATCGGTCTCTTCGAAGCTACGTCAAAGTTCTTCAATAGACAGATTTAGAGAATTATGGGCGATTGATGAGTTGTACGCTTGCTGACGTCACGCCGAGCCGTTTGACGTGTAGCCAGATGTCTCAAACATAACATTCTCTTCAGTTTCAAAGCTTGTTTATTTATCTAAACGTCAAAGAACTCTAATTATAGCTGTGATTAATGACCAGGACTATTCTAATTTTAATCCATTTCATGTCGATAATGTAGAAGTGTGTAAATTAATTATTAGTAATAAATTTTATGGAACTTTTATTGAAATTTAATTTTTGTTTTACTACGTACTCTAAACAACGCGAGCCCCATTGCAGCGCGTCTGTCATACTGAATGACAAACAATGCATTTTCTGCGTCGAAAATCTAACTATTTCAGGTTCGACCGGTCCGTTGAGATAATCAAGTTGAGGACAAAAGTGTTCTTGTACAGTGAAACATTTTTTGCACTTTAGAACAATGTGTTTAGTTCCCACGTAACATCTCAATGTAATTGCTAGCAATCATATTATTAGCAAAGAAAATTCTTGAGAACGATCACAATGGAAAAGTCGCATCGGATATGAATAAAAATAGATCATAATATTGTCTACTTCATAAATTAAAAGCATGATCATAAAAATCTTTAACAAATATTCTAATGTAACGAGTCCTAATTTAAACAAATCGTTTAATTGTTAGGGATTGAATCAGTACACGAGCAATAAAACCCTGAACACAAGGTTACGCGACAATCAAATAACATTTAATTACATTAAACCGTATCCTATTTTAGTTACAAAGTTTATTATTTTATACAGACAGCATCCTGTCTGCGCTTTAGACCACTTAGGTAATGATTATTTTTTCGGCCATAGCTATTTGACAGGTCGAGATATAGAAGCTGCGTGCGTTTGAATAAATGAATAAATCTACTCAGACTCAGTTATTCCAAGTATGCGGAAATGTGGATAAATATATCGTGTTCGAATTCTATTAGATACGAATTGTTTGCACCGGTCAATTTACAGCATCGACATGATGTCATATTGTTTGTGACGCTAATAATTTGATGGTGTCAATTTTTGACAACACTCAAGGTTCGTATTAACTCTGTTAGCAACCTTTAGAGATATCAAACCTTTTAAAAACATTATATAGATTGGAATTTTAAAACTACATATTCGGATTAAGCGAAGATTTATTTAAGAGTTTTTTGTGGCAAGTTTTTATCAAGATCAACATTTCTTTAACAATTTATTGTATTGTCAGCGAAATATTAGGGGTATTACTTATACGAAAAGTAAGAACTAAAGAACCAGTAACATTCATAAAGTTGTGTTATTATTGTTAAGCGATTGTAATCATCGAGTATCCATGCAGCTTCAATGATGAATCAAGATCCGACTCTGCGAGGACCAGTAAAATAAAAATCTCTATCAAACGCTAATATCACGGTCACGGGCGAATATATCAGAGAAGCGTGAGTCATATCTATTATTTATAAATAACAATAGGGATTTTATTTAATTGACGTCAATATTTTATGTCGATATACCATAATAAATCGAAGCATGCACTGCGTGACCGGACCACGTCGCTGTTACAATTTCAACAAGGCCTTGGGTTTTTTTAACGTGTACAGCAAGCTTTAGAGCCCGCTCGCACGAAACGCGAGATCAATGTATTTAGTTTTAGAACGCTACAAGTTTTTCAGTCAAAGCGAGACTTTACGGTACCCTCAAATGACCATTAATAGCTTGTTTTTTTGTCATCTCGAAACGGTCGAACCTGAAATTGAATCGCGGAGATAAAAAGAAGAATCTATTCCTTTTTTAAATATAGACGCTTCTAGATGGAATTATATTATTATAAACGGATATTATTATATAATGTTCATTGAAATTTTCTTTGATTTAAATACTTCGTGTAGTACACGCATCGTTAATAATATTTAACAAACATCTGTGTTCCAACCCTATTGTTGGAGGCGATTTTTTACATAATTCAACCATAACCACACGAGTCTCGTTATAAGCTAGATGTCTCAAGCAGATTAACTTAAATTGCCCATTAGTCTGAGTACACCGTGCCTCAAAGTAATTTATGTCATCCACTTTACAATTCAAGCTGGAGAAACCTCTATTACTATGTCCATAAAGACCTTAATCGTTTAAAGATGAAGGGTGTTATATACTTCGTTGTGTACTATATCTTTACTCTCTTTATGGCACTTAGTACATCAATGGGTAATAAAATGTGTACAGTGTACACATAAAAAAGACATGTGTAACAATGTCCAAAAGCTCGGTGTTACTTCCGTCAACATTGGTTAAATAACCTCAACATTATAACTCACATGCGTCGTCCGAACTGAATCCATTTCGAATGTCACAATACAATAATAAATCCGCACTCACACGCTCGCTAACGTCAGCTGGGCCGGGGTTGATGCACCTTTGACATCGCGTCCATATTCTTTTGAGGTTATGTTTGCGCCGGCGCCGGGAAAATATTAAGAAAAATTTCGTCTATTCTATTACGCGAGGGTTACGTTTTTTGGTCCATGTTAGCGCGTGTGCGCCGTGAGTAGATCACGCTGCCACTGAGCTCGCCGGCCGCGGGCCGAGACTTTGACTCAATGAACGCCTGCGTCACTTCGGGAAGTACGCGCTACGACACTAATATCAAATCTTATAGAGCCTGCATCTACAATCTGCTACGGCATACGTCACGCTGATCGATTATGTTCACTTCACGTCTATATAAATAGAAATTATTATCTAATTAATTAATTTCCATACTGTAACAAACATTCATTTTGAACAAGGACCCTATTTTTAGATGTTGCCCTTGAATTTTTTTTAATTGTTACCTTGCTTATAAATTAATTATTTGTCTTAGTTACCGCTTTTATTTTAAAACTTTATGCACTATTTTCATATTTCTTGACATTTAACATTTTTGCTCTTTCATCGTCGAAACACTAACCGTTATATTAAGCAAATGAAACTTCTTGCCCATATTCTAAGGAAGGATTGGTACAGATCCTACTTTTCCATACGATTATTTGAAAACAGTAGTACCTACTTACTTTTCAGTTGATGCTAGTAGGTTAGTTTGGATATTTAATTATCTATACTAATATTATAAAGAGGATACATTTGTATTTCTAAATATATTGAAATAAATTTAAACAGCTACTGGGCCGAGCATAGGCTACATTTTTTAATGTCACGCGGGCGAAGTCGCGAGCAACGGCTTGTTGTCAAATAAAACATAAAGCCCTCGTTAATTGTTATGCAATAAGGTTGTTACTCTCCATAAATTGAATTAAGATATTAATTTGTCGACTTAATAGTGACGTCAATGATTCAAGTTCAACTTCCTCACTTCATTCATGGTCTAATTATAAAATTACGTATAGTTACAACACAAACACATACACACCCGCACACACACATATTACATACATTAGCGACGTTGGCACGTGGGAAAAAACTTTGGTTCGTGATATAATTGTTTATACATACAGTTAGCAACAAGATATGACAGACGACTGTTTAAATCTACATAGTAAACTCAACTTAATCTCATATACATAGAGGCGAAAGTTACTTAAACATTTAAGGCGATTTTCATTCAACTTCGATGACCACTGTGCACTTAAACATCTGTTCTAAGAATATAAGTGCGTAACATTCAATAACTAAACATGTTTTATTAACAGATTATGTGACGTCTGTTGGAGAATAATTTTCCTTACGAGTTATTGCTTAACAACTGCGTAGTTAACGAATAGGTTTGACATTTAAACTCTTCAGTTAAGTTTTATTATTTTCATAATAGGTACTAAGTTTTACCAACTATTATATCAATGCAGAAAAAATGTAACTAAATAGCCTTCGATATTTCACTTTGATATTGCAGACAGTAACACATCTCTGTGGGAAATTTTATTTACAGCTGTTGAGAAGTTATGGATACGCATGAAATAAACATCCATCTAAACTTAATAATTTATCTAGTAATATAAGATAATAATACTCTATATAAACGTTTTTTCATCAACTTCGATTAGGAAGTCAGGATATAAAAAGTATTTAATCTCTTTCATGGAATTGAATAGTGAGAAAACCAAATGATTCGCATATTTACCGAGTTTTATTTAAGTT